TGCCTCACCTGGAGCAATAGTTAGATGTGGCCCCCAAACTGGCTGACTTTCAGAAACACCTGGGGAATGTGGGTGAAAGCAGATTCTTAGGACTGGGCCGCTGAATCAGAATTTTGGGGTGAGGGACAGAAAACTATACAAAAATAAGCTCTGCCACATGCTTCAAATGATCGTTGCAGTCTGGGGATCACTGTCACGGGAAGGCAAGTGCCTGCCGCCCATTTCGGGCCATGCGGGTGAATTCAATCGAACGATTACCTCCAGGCTCACATCTTCCCGTACACTGTCCCCCAAAAACCATCACTCGTGAAAGATCAGGTTGCACTTTATTCCCCCCTGCCTCCCAGCCTTCAAAGAGGAAATGTGGACACGACAAGGAAGCGAAAAAGAAAAAGAAAGACTGGTGGGATGAAAAAACAACAACGAAAAAGATGTTAAGTGGTTGTGCAGAAATGTGAGCACAAAGTGTAGAACTCATGGCAAAGGTCAAACAAGAATTTAAATCAGATCTACACGACTGGGAACCTAAGGACAGATGTGTCTAATTTTGTATTATATTTTGACCCAGCTTAATTATATCTATTTGACCCGGTTCAATTATATTCCATCACTGACTTCAAACAGAATATTCAGCTCTCAAAGCAGAGGTGCCAAATTCATTTAAGCTATTGCTACATGCTGTTCAGCCTTCCTTCCTCCCTCCACCGCTTACTCCTTAACTCTTTGCAATCCAGCCTCTGTTCTCAAAGCAGTAAATCTTAAATCTGCTCTCCCAGCGGCTACCGGGGGGCGCAGCTCATGACCCGATTCGTCACCCCGCTTCCAAGCCTGTCCTTGACTAGGCTGCAGCATTTGAATCCACTTATGCTCCCTTCTTCTTGACCGTCTGTGCTCTCCTGGATCCAGCTGTTCTGTTCCACTCCTTCACGGGGCCAGCATTTGCCACTAAGTCTCACTCGGTGATCGGCGCTCTATGCTCAACAGGAGCTAAGTTCTGGGTCACAAAACTGAGTGGGGCCCAGATTCTCAAGAATCTCAATTTAGCATGGTATCTTTCTCCCTCTAAAATGCAGCCTCTTATCTCTCTCTCTCCCCCTCTCCCTTCTTCCCTCTGAAGTCAATAAAGATATATTTAAAATAAATAAATTAAATAAAATAAAATGTAGCCTCTTGGGGATTAAGAATGGTATGGTAGCAGACTGAGTGGAATCTACATTAACACTCTCCTGGGACCAAACTGGAACTACAACTAAAATATAGAAAAACCATCCTGAATCATCAATTGCAACTGAAGACGAGCTGCAGAGCACCCTCATAACCAAGGGGGAAAAGGGGAGACCACACAGAGACAGGAAGGGAGTGTGGAGGCACAAGAGGGCTGGCTGGGCTGAAGATCCGAAGGAGATCTCAGCCGTGGGGGCCCCCACGGAGGACTCTGGGGCCTAAACCCCAAGCTGGGCTCCCCAGCCCAGAGCACCAGCACTGAGAAGGTGCCCACATAACATCTGGCTGTGAAAAGCAGCCGGGTTTCTGTCTGCCAGGGAAATGCAGGCCCCCTCTTAAAGAACCAACGCACAAAGGTTCCTGTGCAGCCACTCACCTTGGGCTCCGGCGGAGGGGGGGCGGAGTGCACTGGAGCTGTGTGAGGAGAACCTAGGGCTGTGGGCTCGGAGATAGAGCTCGGACGGCATCCATCTGGATTCCTGCGCCAAGTCATTCCCGCAGACTGCAGAGGCAGACATTTACCTTCCATGCAGCTTTTAACCTCTAGCCCCACCCTGAGGAGTTTCTGCAGCCTGGGGCTTGTTAAGAGACTGAAAGCAGTCAGCTGCCCCACTCGGTGGAGTTTCTACAGACTGAGGCTCATTAAGGGAATCAGATTAATCAGCCTCCAGGCAGAGGCGAACCTCAGAGTGCTTTGAGTCTTTGCCTGATCTGCTTCTGGACCCAGGCCTTGGAAAAGCAGACATTGGTGTGTATCTTGGTCCTGTCCAACTGTACCCAGCCCCAAATGAGGGGATCTCAAACTGTGGGTTGTTGATAGCTCCAAACAGGGTACTCAAGGCCAGTCACAAACAGTGTCTGACATTGGCCTGCACCAGAGACCCTCCAAAAAGACTGAGAGTCCTAGCAGGCCTACCTAATACATAGAAACAAATCCAAATAGACAGCCAAAATGGGGAGACAAAAAAATAAGCCCCAAATGAAGGGATCACAATACCAGGCATCAATACTACAAAGCCACTGTAATCAAAACAGCCTGGTACTGGCACAAGCAGAGACATATTGATCAGTGGAACAGAACAGAGAGCCCAGAAATTGACCCAAGCCATTACGCTCAATGAATATTTGACAAAGGAGTTAAGAGCATACAATGGAGTAAAGACAATCTCTTCAATAAATGGTGTTGGGAAAATTGGACAGCTACACGCAAAAACNAATCTCTTCAATAAATGGTGTTGGGAAAATTGGACAGCTACATGCAAAAACAAAGAAACTAGACCACCAACTTACACCATATACAAAAATAAACTCAAAATGGATAAAAGACTTAAATGTAAGATGTGAAATCATAAAAATCCTAGAAGAAAACATAGGCAGCAAAATCTCCGACATCTCTCATAGAAATATGTTTGCCGATACATCTCCTAGGGCAAGAGAAACAAAGGAGAAAATAAACAAATGGGACTGCATCATAATAAAACGCTTCTACACAGCAAAAGAAACCATCAACAAAATGAAAAGGGAGCCCACTGTATGGGAGAACATATTTGCCAATAACACATCTGATAAGGGGTTAATATCCAAAATATATAAGGAACTCATACAACTTAACAAAAGGAAGACAAACAATCCAATTAAAAAATGGGCAAAGGACCTAAATAGACAATTCTCCAAAGAGGACATACAGATGGCCTAGAGACATATGAAAAAATGCTCAAAAACACTAATCATCAGAGAGATGCCAATTAAAATCACAATGAGGTATCACTTCACATCTGTCAGAATCACTACCATAAAAAAATCAACAAACAAGTGCTGGCGAGGGTGTGGAGAAAGGGGAACCTAGTACACTGCTGGTGGGAATGCAGACTGGGGCAGCCACTATGGAAAACAGTATGGAGGTTCCTCAAAAAATTAAAAATTGACCTGCCATTCAACCCAGTGATCCCACTTCTAGGAATGTATCCTAAGAATCCTGAACACCAATCAGACAGAACCTATGCACCCCTATGTTCATAGCAGTGCAATTTACAATAGCTAAGGTCTGGAAACAGCCCAAGTACCCATCAGTAGATGAGTGGGTAACAAAGCTGTGGGACATTTACACCATAGAATACTATGCAGCTGTAAAAAAGAAGGATCTTGTACCTTTGGGACAGCATGGAGGGACCTGGAGAGTATCATGCTGAATGAAATAAGCCAGGCAGAGAAAGACAAGTATCACATGATCTCACTCATATGTGGAATCTAATGAACAAAATTAACTGATGAACAAAATAGATCCATAGACACAGAAGCTTGGAACAGATTTAGGGATCTCATAGCGAAGGTGGGGGTGGGGGAGTGGGTGGGGAGAGATTAATCAAAGAATTATATGCTTATAAACATAACCCATAGACACAGACATTGGTATGGAGAAGGCCTGGGGGTGGGGTGGATGTAGGGTGAAGGGGATCAACTCACCTTAAGTTCTCTTTTGCTCAGGTCTTGACTGCTCTCTAGTTTCCCCCCAGTGATACCAGCTATTTTCTTTGGAGATGCACCCCTTATCAAACCCAACCAAACCCAGCCAAACCCAACTAAACCCAACCAGACACAGCCAAACCCAACTAAACCCAACCAGACACAGCCAAATCCCACCAAACCCAGCCAAACCTGACCAAACCCAGCTAGACACAGCCAAACACAACCAAAAAAGAACAACATCAGCAGCAAAACGAGTTAAATCAGAGCTGAGGTGTCTGTCACTGAATATAATTTAGATAAATTTTTTTTCTGGACACATCAGCTTTGGGATCACTTTCCCTGATATTCAAGTAGCTATTTTATACCCAACAGAGATTCTGAAAATACATATCTAGTGAGCGTTCACCTTTTGGTTTACTGCACCTTGAAATCTCCTAGCATTTGCCTAGAAAATGTCTGTTAGGAAGTTTATTCTACATGGAAGAAAGTTTCTACTTTTTAAAAAAATAGATAAAATACTTGAAAAAGTACAGTTTCAAGCAGATTAAAGTCTACAATAGATGATGAATACTGGCAATATGCCATTTAAAAGTGACTGTGCCCACTGCTACAGAATTGTAATTCAAAGGGGGGGCACACAGGAGGAAAGGTGGAAACATGAGCTTAAGTCAATTAAACATGAATGTGTCACTCATCTGTAAATATTTTCAATCAAGAAAATAAACAAGATAAGAAAGAATCTCTGTTTACTTAGTCATGATTCATAAGCCATTTTATCTTAGAAAAATATTTAAAGTTTTTGATAAAAGAAACACAACCTTTCAGATAAAAGGAATATATCTCCAAATTCTGAAATAGTGTTGTATTATGAAATATATAAAGAAGGGATAGAGATGACTAAAAAACAAACCACCTGTAAGCCTTTTCCTGGTGTTGATCACTGTTTCTTTCATGCCCAGTGATAATTTGCTCTACATTAATTTGTGGAAATTACCACATACACTATTTTTCTTTGGAATATGACATAGAAAATTCATAAAATTAGGAAAAATACATGATGATGATTTCTGCTAAGCCTACAAAAGCTGATCACTTCTAAAATAAAATAACCATGGACATGTTAATGAAGATGTTCCATTTAGGTTTTATTTTTTAATAGGAAAAGAGGAGAATGATCTTTGAAGACTCAGAAAAAAATGCATAGTGAGGTTTGAATGTTTAAGTATCACATAAAAATTTTCATAACTTCCCTAATAGCAAGCTGTAAAGTGACAAGTTTCCATCATTATCATTTAATTTTTAAAACTTACTTTCAAAATCCAGAAAAAAATGTGGATAGTTTTCAATTTCCCTGGTAAGGACTTTGAGCAGGTTTCCCATGCCAGCAAACCTAGGAAAGATAACAACAAAAACAAATATCAGTATTAGCGGTATTAAAAAAACACACTTCTAAAGCATTAACCATATTTGACTAACTTGCATGAATACCACTGGATCCCCATAGCTACGTCTTAACACCCTATAAAAAGCATCTTCATACTGGGAAATGGGGCAATACCTTACCCACTATTTCCATGAGAAGAACCAGGTATTTTAGTTACAGGAGGCAGAGTTTAGGTATCTTCTACAAAGTGTCTCTGTTCCCCCTTCACTAATCCCCTGAATCCTCATAGTTAATATTTCAGCTTTGTTTCTGGTCCCTTGATGTGGGAACATACCATGTCAATGGACAAGCACAACAGAGAGGGCATTATTGAAATATCTACCCAGAAGGGTAAGTTGCTTAAAGTTCCCGAGGAAGAGTTTACAAAACACAGGTGTACACCCCCAGCGGTCCCTTTTAGCCTCTACAGGAGGCCACGTTTCCCAGAGGCACAACTCCCAGGCAAGTCAGAGCCTCTCAGAATTTGACATTTCAGTGGTAACGAGATTGGGTACTTCGTGAAACGTAAAAATGAGAAAAGTATAATATCCAAAATTTATTCTCAATGAAATTGCAGCCCAAGGCATTTGCAAAAATGAATCAAGTCTACAGAGAAATACAAATTTGTAACATATCTACAATCTCAACCTAAAAAAAAAAGGAAAAAAAAGAGAATAGGCTGAATGTCGTGACTATTTAAGTAAATAGCAAACTTTCTACGGCCCTCAGCTCTAGACATGGAACTCTCCTCCTCAGGAGGCTGCCCCTTCATCCGGCACATCTCTACGGAGTCGCGATTCGATGCTGCGTGCCATGCTCTTTGCCAGGCAGTTCTCTAGCTCGTGACTCAGACCCCTCAGCTTGGGAAGGACCAACTGGAGAAACCACTGGGCTTTAGAATTAGCTATAGGGCTGCGATTTTCTAGGCACGTGGCTTCCGACAGTATCTATGTGGATGCAGGAATTTTAAAAAGATGCCACATGAGAAGACACTGAGAGGATGACTTCGTGCATGAACACATGAAACAGGCCGTTCTAATCTAGTCTCCGTAGTGCTCCCCTGAGAAAACACTCGTACACTTGCAGGCACCATCCGTGGCCGAAGTCACTACCGTGAATCCAGAGAAGAGACCATTTAGGGAGCCTGCTTTCAACCTTAGCTGTCTCCCGCTGGCTCTGTTGTCCAGGGCAAGCTACTCCACTCTCTAACCCTCAATTTCTCATTTGTAAAATAAATTGTTATATGTATCTGTTTCGTCAAGTCATGAGGATCAGTGAGCTAAAGTATAAAATGCTTAGCGCAGCTCAAGAAATGTTCTGTGCTGTAACTATTCATGATGATGATGATGATGATGATGATGATGGATACCACCACCATCCTCACCCTCATGATCACAACAGCCTTCAAATAACTACTGAGGATTCTGCTGTGGAAGATAAATTGGACAGGTTGTATGTGGCTCCAGGGAAGGGGAAATGATGAGGAAGACCTCCACTCAAGGCCATGGAAAAGTTTCTAACCGTTAGAGTTATCTGAATATTAAATTATTTGCCTTGTGAAACAATGAGCTTCCTGTCCCTGGTGATGTTTAAGTAGAAATATGATATATTAACCCTTTAAAATATTGTAAAAGTGAGTTATGTGTTGGGCAGATGCTGGACTGGATAATTCTTAGAGCTCTCCCATCTTGAAGTATTTACATGTTTGGGCATGGGGGCACGCACACACACACACGTGTGCACGCACACACACAAGAGAGGCAAGCACCACGCTTCCCTTTTCTAGAAGAATCTTCCCCAGTCTTCCTGCCACTTTTTCTCCCCCCCTCGCCTTTATGCACATCTCCTTCTGAGATGCTCTGGAGCAAAGCCCTGTGTGGGGTAGGTGCTACCAAATTAAAATTCGGAACTGACACAGTTCATCCCTGCCCCTGGGCAGCTTCCACAAACCCTCTGGGTCTCCGGGAAGGAATCTGTTTCCCACTTAATGAACGAGTCCAATCCAGACCTGGAGGCACTTCTTGTAGGAAGATGATTCCACTGTTCATAGCAGCCTGGCTTTCAGATAAAATGCCTTAATGGAAGCTAAATATTCTTAATTTCTCTCGTTTTGTGCTATTAATGTGTCACAAGAGACCTGAGTGGATTTAGCTTTCTCCTAAAATTCTGTCCTGTGCATGATTTTACTGTCAGAGGACTAGGTGGGAACTATGTCAAGCCTTTAAAATTAGTAACAGGAGGAAAGGAACACACGTGGAAATACACCCAGATAAGAGCCGGCTGTAGAATCTGTCCGCAGGTCATTCAGGCTGGTTGGCTGATATGGTCAAATATTCTGGAACATGTAGCTTACATCAGCCAAGGTCAATTAAGAAGCTCTCATTATTGCAGATGTTTGACATCAGTGACGGTGGGACATTACATCGCCTTAGGGGTCCAGTCCGGGTGTATGGAACCTTGAAAACATTCATTTCAACACCCACTCCTTGAGTAAGTGCAGGAACATTTCAGCTCTTTCCCGGCAGAGGATCTGCTGCGTCCCGCTTCCCTCCGAGGTGGACAAGAATCGTGCACGTATATTCCGGTTTCGGGTGTGCAGAGCGAGCTGATGCCACAGTCACTGAGCAGAGACCATGGCTGTTTGGAATTGGACCCAGGCTCCCCCTGGGAAGGCCCCTCAGCCCTGAGCCTCCCACCGAGCCCGGGCATATGCCCCGTGACAGGCTAATCTTTCCGAACAGCTCGGTGCGTGCAGACCACCGCCCTACGCGCCACACTCCGAGCGAGAAGCTCCGTTACCTCCCACGAAGATTATTAGTTTAATATTGATCTTGTTTGATGTAAGAATTTAAGGGAAGTTATGCACCATTAGAAGGCGCAGACACTTACACAATGAGAGTGGGAGAAAGAAAAATAAAAGCGAACACGAGAGGAAAACCACGTGGAGTGGGATCGGTCAGGGGAGCTGGCTCCTGGGGGAGTGAGCGGCCCCCGGGGCGGGAAGGGCGCCAGGGCCCGGGGCTGCCCAGGGGAGCCCCAGGTGCCCAGGGGGTTAGGACTGAGGGGGAAGGAGAGGTACAAGTCGGCCGACTCGACAAGTCTTCCAAAATCAGAAGGCTTACTCCTCAAGGCTCATGGGCTGCAAGAGAACTTTGAAACGGGCCCTTTCGCATTATTTTCCAAAGAGTCTGGAAAGAGGGCGTTTCTCTAGTTCCTGTCGGAGGCTAACAGCCTGTAAAGATCGCAGCACGTCCCTGCCAAGGGCGGCACTCGCCCCCCGGGGGACAATTTGGGATGTACACATGGTGTTTCCTATGACTACCTTCTTGGCTCTGGACTCAAAACCACTTCCAAGGGAGTTGGCTCTAAGGCCCCTGAGTGGAAAACAGCTACTCTCTTAAAGAAATAGTTCTCCGTGAATATTTCCAGTTCCAAAACAGAGGGGAGAATTAAAACGCGTGCACTCGTGCACACACACGCACACGCACACACACACATGCACGCACACACAGTGGTTTTTGTTTGTTTGTTGTGTTTTGATTTTTCCTATTTTGAGCTCTAATACAACAATAGCATTAGTTGTATTCCTAGAACGTAAAAGCAAATAAAATGAACCAGGGCTTGGGCTGAAAGGAGATGACCATGGTTTTCAAGGCAATTTGTTTGCTTTCTCTGAACAGGACGTAACCAAGGACCCAGGCCAAGAGTGGGCGCTGTGAGTGTTTGCTCTGCCTGCACACACCAGACCTTCAGCACCCGGTTTTCAGGAATTGAGAACAAGCACTAAAGAGACATTTTCTGCAGCTCTGACTATTTGAACGGAGAATTCCTGAGCCAGTACCACCTTCTGTCAATACAGAACAGGTGAGAAAAAAATAACTAAATAGAACAGCAGCTCCACAGGGGTTTATTTTTCTAATATTTTTCTTCGGGATGATAAATAGGCAATGCCTGGACCAGAAGGCTTGGATTTTGCTACCACTTTGAATGAGCCAATGACTGCCAGAATCTACAATATTTAGCAAAGACTTTAAGAAACCAAAGACTTAGATTCTCTGTCCATAACTTAGTATTAGGGGGATTAAGAAGATCTGGTTGATTCAAACATTTTTCGGCAACATAGTCACATATAAACCACAGACCAGTCATGACTACAACAATGACACATATTTATAGAACATCACATCTTTGCGAAAGATCCCTCTGGCCACATCTGTCCTCAACCTGAGTGTGTGTCAAAGGCAGGGAAGGTATTATTGAACCCATTTCACAGAGCAGAACTGGTGGGTCAGGCCTAGTAAGTGTCCTTCTCAAGGTTTTAAGATGGATTCTGGACTTCCTGACTCACGGTCCTGCTGTACTCCCACGTCACTAGAAATCATGCTACCCAGAAATGGGATCATCTTTTAAAGTTTCTATTTTACCAAAAAACACTTGCCCAAGGACCCACGGGGCCAAGAGAAGGGCTGGAATGGGGATGTCAATCATGGTCTGTCTGCTAGCACAAAAAGTAAAGGGGACATGACCTGCGTTTTTTAAAACATAAAATATATCAGATCCTGTGTATTGCTGCCATTAGAGCTTCTGCTTCATGTTGGCAGGGCCTCACCAGGACATGCTAAACAGCTACCTGACAAGGACATCCTCACTGGTCATTCATGAAACTGCGTGCACGTCCGTCCATTCCTACCTGGATGACCCCAATTCGCACCCTCAGTAGAGCTTGCCTACGTCCCGGAAACAACCTCCAAACCAACCTTCCCGACTCGTCTCGTCTCGCCTCCCTCCCATTCATTCCCATGCTACTGGCAGAGTCATCTTTTAAACACAAGTCTGATTATGTCACTTCCCAGCTTAATATGCTCCCATGGCTCCCCAGTGCCTGCAGGATAGAACGGAGCCCAATGCATGTACTGGGCACAGGACACCTGGCCTCTGGCCTCTGCTCGTCCCTCTGTCCCCTCTCC